GTTAGTTTTATCAGATCAATTATGAATATTAAGTCCGGCAAATTTTACCTTAAGATATCTTATTTTTAAAGTGTGAAAATGTGTTGGAAACCACATATTATATATATATATATATATATAGTAGTAATATAACTAAAATGTAATATATTTAAGAAAATATCTTATACAGAGTAGAGTAGAATTAAATAGAAAGGAAAGGACACGACCTAAAAAGCAAATGGGTATAACAGATAGTATGATACTGATGTATTTGGGTGCATTGACAGGCGTAGTGGGTTTCCTGTGTTGGTTCCTTGAAAAAGTGTGAAACTCACTTTCTGCGAAAACAACAAAGGAATGAGTCCGTAGAGTAGGACATGATGGGGCCCTACGAAATTGCATTGCAGTTGCATCTCATAACTTCACTTCCACTCCAAACTCAGACTCAAATCCGCAAAATGTGGGGAGGCTACACAAACTTTTTCCCACATAAGAAATTTCCTCGAAATTTTTTAGTTTGTTCTTTCTATTTATTATGTTTGTATGAAATTGCGTCTACCTGCGCCAACCCAAAGCCCACTCACGGATCACGAATTAGTTTATGGTCACAACAAGATCCATATATCAAATAATATATTAACATTGTGGGCCAAATCAAATAAATTAATGGTACAACACACTTTATTGTTTATACACGTGTATTATTTAAGATACTCGTTGTGTACTGTTATGAAATCTATGATAATATATAGGAATATTTTCTATTGGTCTTCCTTTTTCTTTTATCACTTCCTTTCTATTATATTTTAATTATCTTCATATTCTTTACATAATCAATGAGTTAGATATAAGTAGTTAATATGTTGAACTCAAAATTGAATTATTTAGATAATTTTTAAGTTCAATCTTTAGTAAAAATAATTATTGGTAAAATTTTACTTACATTTTAACTAAGTATAACTAGTTTAAGGTAGAATCTCATGATACTTATGTGAAATATAAAAAAAAATATATATATCAATCACTCTTTACATAATCATGTTTTACTTTCGTATATCTTTATTATCACTCATAAATTTTTATTATCATTATTATTTTTTAAATATTATTATTTTGATTATAAATATTAAAAAAAATATATATAATGTAGTTTATTTCATAATTATGTTTAATTTAATGATGAGTCTAGTTCTTGTAGATATAAATAAATAATTATTTTATTTTAATTTGAATATATTCATATTCTTTATCATTATTGTTCATCTCTTTTTTTATTTATTATCAATAAGTATTTTTCGTCAAATACGAAAATAATCTTTCTCAAGGAGGTAAGGGATGAGCATGGGTTGAGTTGGACCGAGTTCTTCCTTATTTATATTCAATTCAAATTTTTGATCGAGTTATTTTCTAAAACTCAAATCTAACACAATCAAGACTTAAAAAAATATATAAAACTAGGTTGGATTGACCCAACTTTGATATACTAAATTAATTTTAACATCGTTAGATTATAAATTAAAAGAAGCACAAAATTTAATGTTGTTATCAAAATTTGCAGGTGCTCCAACAGGAGGACAATGTTCTTCATACTCCAATTGTTGATGGTAGGGGAGCACCAACAAAGACATTCTTGCATTCAAGTTAGAGAAAAACATAGGTTAAAAATGAATTTAAGGTTAAAATGATACTTAGGATCCATAAATAAGTGTTTGGTCTTATCTTTAAGTCAAAGATATAGTAACATGATTTTCATAGATATATCATGGTGGTTAGATGAAAATAATATACTTTGATAATGTGATCTGAGTTTTAGGGGATATTCAACGTGAAGATGTTCCTAACTATTTGAAGATAAACCTCTTAGGACTTTTCTTTGTGATGCTAATGGTGGTCCAGTAGGGATTAGCAAAGGCGCTTGGTCAAGTCAAATTGGGTGTAAGGTCAACTTGGTTGCACCAATCTAGTCAAATTCAATACACTTAAATTAAGCTATATTTTATAATATACAATTAAAAATAAATAATTTCATTATAAATATAATATAATGTAATAAAAAAATAGTAATAACTAAATAAATTTTATTATAAATGCACAATAATTCAATAAAACATATATTTTTTAAGATAATATTATATATTAATGGGTTGAGCGGCCTAAAATGTAATTTGAATCCATCTTAAAAATGTACAAAGATTGTGGTAATGGCAAGGTGAGTGAGATCACTGCCTTGAGTCCCTTCAAAAAAAATTATATGTTATTTAAAATATTTAATTTAATTTAATTTATTAAATGATACTTTTCATATATTAAATTTATTTATTTATTTTCTCATGCTTAACCTATTTGAAAAAATATTAAAACTTATGTTTAGTATTAAAGTATATATAATTAATTAACTACACACTAATACTGATTAACACAAGTGATAACCGTTTATATCATTTAACTAAATTGTTTAAGATTCGAATATTATCCTTAAATATGAACTAAATTATGTTGGAGGGTACTTATCGTGTGTGCACTTATAATCCCTGACAAAGATTAATCTTTTTTTTTTACAATAAATATTTCATACTAATACCATGATTACAAAAAAATAAGGTATATAAAATATATACATGCACATTAACTAAATGTAAATAATTCTATTAATTATTTTTGTGAATTTTTATTTCAATAATAATATAAGATTAAGTTAATTTATTTAATTTTTAATAAATATTATATTGAGGGAAAATATAAAAAAAAAAATCTTTTTAATTATTAAGCGGGTTCACCCGTGAGAAGAACGGTTGGATTTTTTAACCCACTAAAGGATGAAGGATTGAAGGTCCCATGGGCCAAACCTTAGCAGTTTTTGGTTGACAGTGTGGTTTTCAAAAGGAAAAATGCGACGTCTTATTTTTAGTATTGGACGGTTGTTATATGTAAAATAATTTGTACGTGTAGTCTTAAGCTAATAGATAAGAACAAGACTTGAATCCAAATGGCAGTGGGCTATATCATTGGTCCATTGCAAATAAAATTGGATTTTCCCTACTAAAAGATGAGTTTGTCTGGATGTTTGAAAATGTACTTGCAGGAGTAGAAAGTTAGTTCATGAATAATAGTTTGTTTGGTTTGACGTAGAAAATTATCGTAGTTCATCTCAAAAGTAACTATTTATGGCTTCCAAAAATTATGATGAGTTTAACTTACCATTAATCCAAACATACATTAAGTGGAAGTTTACTTTCATATCAGATTTTCAGAATCATGTTAAATACCAATTTTAAATAAATTTTCATGTGTTTTGTTTCACGTTGAGAAATTGATTCTAAATTAAAACAACTTTAGATAATTACTGTGTGAGATAAAAACATTGAAACATGAATCCAACATTTATAAAAAATAGTCAAATCTTCCCTCCCATCTTTTTTATAAGGCAAGCCGAGTGAAGAAAGGTGGTTTCATATCCTAGCCTATCTAGTAAAATGCCTTTCTTATTTTATATCGGACACTTTACTAGTCACGGATGATCCATCAAAACAGAGCCTTGGCCCTCCCGTTCCCCTTAAGAGTCCTATCAAGTTCTTTAGCCTATGTTTGGTGGAGATGATTTAATAATTAGAAGGATGAATTAGAGTGGACTAGAGTGAATTTGAAAGAAAAAAAATTACTGTCTAATATAGTGTATTTAAGAAAAAATTATGAGGAATTAGAAGCAGATTCTGTATCATTTTTTTATACACTCCCCATTAAGAAGATTCTTGTGAATTTTGAAAAATGTGTAAAATTACATAAAACAAAATATTAATTCTAACTATATTATAAAATGAGGGTAACATAGTAATTATAAATATTAAATTAACTCTATTTCTCATTTAATTTCACTTTATTAAACAACTATAAATTTTATTCTATTTCACTTAATTTCTTATCTAATTCTTATAAAATCAATTCTCACATATTCTATCTCTCTCCCCGAATAAAGGATTAATTAACTTAATTCTATATCCGTACTTCATAAGATTAGAATTGGTGTATAGAATGCTTCTAATAGGGGAGTACTTTAAATCAAGAAACTAAGGATTGTCCCTATTAGATAGGGATACTGAATATTTGCATTGAAATCTGTACTCTTTTATTAAAAAGTGCAAGAAATGATTTTCTAACTTCAAAACAAATAAGGTAATCAGGCTTGACCATATTTTGTGAGATTAGTCTCACTTATCAGAGTTGTAAGGGAGAATAAGGAATTTTAACAATTAAGAGAGGAAAGCTAGCAATATATTATATACCATACTATTATTGATCGAGATTTACTTGTATTTGTAAAATACAAGACTCATTAAAAATGGAATAAACTTTGCATTATTATATAGAGAGGATGTGTTGTTAGCTTTTTCTTTTCTCACATATATATTGGTATAAATTATATGCTTAGAACTTATTTAAGCAAACCTCTTCATAACTACTTATAAGGGAGAAAAATAAGAAAGAAAAATAAAATAATTTTTTTTACAAGTTAAAATTAACTTATGCATAAGTTAATTTGTAGAAGTTATCTTTTACTAGCTTCTCCAAAATATTATGTTTAACTCTTACATAAATTAATTTTAACTTTTATTTTAAATTTTCTTATTATTTTTCTCTTCTAAAAATGCTTCTAGAAAAAATTATCTCAACAAACTCTTATACATAAAAGGTAAACTACAGCGTAAAACATCCCTATAAATTTAAATGGAATTAGCAAGCAACGCTATAGAGAGAATTTCGCTCCATACAATTCAAAAGACAAAGAAAACAAATAATTACTTTACTATATCCCATATACTTTTTACAATTATAACGACAACAAAAAAAGAAACTCCCAATAAGATTAATGAAAACTCTTAATTTGATTTACGAATTAGATGTTTTAATCACTGGCATACTTTCATGCACAAACATCATTATTATTTACACATAAAAATAGGACCAGTATCCACATGCATAACAAAATAATTATAAAATTTAAAACAAATCCTATTTTTTTAAAATAAGGTCACGTAACGCGACTGACTATAAATATTTGTTTATTTATGACTATACTTCAGCCAACCATTCAATTTTAATACTGCAAAGCCTCAGGTAAACAAAGTCAGGGAGTACAGAAATACAGTGAACATCCATGTGCCGTTAACATTGATATATCAAACCATGTACCCCCACCCCACCCATGAAATGAAAGTGATCTATATTAATAGGAAAACAAAAAAGAAAAGATTGCTAATAAGGTGCCACTGACAATACGAGTGCATTTACATTATGTAGCCCAAAAATCTCATAAACCACTTTTCAGAACGATTTCGGCCCATACATGACCCTGCCCCTTTTTGCACAACCGTAATTCTTACATTTCTGGGAGCAAGTCATCCACTATCCAACTCGTTAAATTTTCTTGCGAACGATATGGTTTAAAGTCAAGTATTTTTGTCAAAGTGGATGGTAAGGCACATAGCCTAATAAACCCGTCAGGTTAGTCACAACATCGCTGCACCTCGTCAAAAGGTGTATCATCTGATGTGATATATCAACGGTGGTGGCAGTAGCTGATGCATTGGCGTTAATAAAATTGGGACTGTTTCGGGGTGCCATTGCCAATTTAGAATTACGCAAATTATGTTGTGGGGTTTTTGTAAACTGAGTAGCAGGGAGAGGAATAGGCAACGAAGGTTGTAAAGTGACCTTTTGAACATTCTTACTATTAAATTCCGTTGCAATAGGAGGTGCACCGGCATCGGCAAAACTATCATTGTTGAAGTTGTTTCTACTACTCACCATTAATTGGTCTCCCCTACTACTTTCTTCCCCACCTAACAAGAATTTTACACGAGTGTTCCCTTTACTACTACTTCCATTACCCGTGACCTGACCCGACTCGTCACCTGTGGATTTCTTCAGGCAGGACTTGAGCTGGATGGGCTGCGAAAGAGGTTGATGTAATGATACTGATGTCCGATGAACCACTGCAGGATCCTTGACCCGAGGCATTTCAGTGGCACCATCATCTGCCCTACCCTTGGCAACTTCAGAAACTTCAGGTGCAGAATCCCCAAATTCACGAAGGGAACACCTCACACCCACACTGCCAAATAAGGTTTGATTTGCAAGAGAATGTTTATATGCAGCCTGTGCATCAGCCTTGTGCAAGAAAACCACCCGACAAGTTGATGAGTTCCAAAATACGCGGAAACCTGATTGATCCATTGGGCCAAAGCGTACAAACCTTGCCTTCAGCTCTGCAATAGATGGAAGAGATGTTTCGGGAGGAAATTTGATCATCAACATGGTGGGCTCAACTGTCTTAGTCGCACAATCTACTTTCTTGGTTGAGTCTAGTTTCACCAACTTGGATGGAGCCTGGGGAATGGATTCTTTCCCATCTTCTCGCCGGGCTTCAGAAGTTTTCTGACTGGTCACAGCTTTTTCTGAAGCTAGTGCCTTCAAATCCTTGGGTTTCTTCAACCTCTTTGCAGAAATTTCCTCTTGCCGATCAGAGGGGGCCCTTTTCCGACCAGCTTTTGTAGGACCATCAGGCCGAACAATATGTTTCACAGGTTTTACAACTGGTGAAGCTCTGATATAGTCATCAGGATTGTCAGACACCCTGACATTGGAAGGAGACTTAGTGACACGAACTTCAGGAACTTCATTCTCAGTTGGTGGAGATACAACCAAGCTTTTAACGTACACAAGAGACCTGAATCTCAAAAAGAACTGTTGAACAGCTGCAGGGATCTTTCTTTCAATGCCATGAAAAGGATTCAAAGCAAGGGCTTGCAAATCAACCAAAAGTTGTGGCAATTCAAAATTAGCATTCCCCACAGTATCCATCTGCAGCAGATTATGGGCATTAGCATCCACGTCCACTTGTTCTGCAGGAAAATCCTCTCTTGGAGCCAAAGCACTTGAGACAACTTTTCCAATCGATTTTACAAAAGCAGAATGCTTCTCCACAGAGCCTAAGGTAGGTTGTAAATTTAAATCCTTTCTCTTTTTCTTCTTCCCTTCCCTAACAACAGAAGTCTTAGAGTTCAACACATCTGCAGGTCTCTTATGACTTTTCATCTTCTTCAACGCACTAACTTTGTGATGCTTTGCTTCAACTGGAGAATCATATACATTATTTTCGCTCTTAACTGGATGCATGTCATTAACTCCATCAACAATAGTTAGAGGTCCCTGCTCTATTTGCTTCAAATCTTCACATGGTCCTGACAATTTTGAATTCCCATCATCTATAACATCATTAGAAACTCGGTTCTCCAGATGTGATGGTTGAGACATCTCATCAACATTGCTTATTAATGCCAACTCCCCAGACAAATCAGACCTAACCATGCTTTTACTTGAAGCATCATTCCTATCAAAGCTGTGGGTCACCTCAGAAGATCCCTTCACCCTGTCAAGATGAGGCTTTGCATCTGGGGAGATGGCATGAGACGTAAGACCACCATCATCTGCTTGAACCTGACCTATTAATGTTTCTTTAGCATCTGAAATTGAAGCTGCACTGTCATGACTAATAAATCCTGTATCTGCTTGCTTTTCTAAATTATGCGAAACCACAGGCACAGCCGGAGCCCTCTTCTGAAATACATAACGAGCTGCTGCATCGGATTTTTCCTCATTGTATGCTAGTTGGACAGAGTTATTTGGATCATCTCTCCGCTTAAGAAGGTACTTATCCTTTTTCAAAGACTCCTTAACTTTAACAGATTTGGTAGTGCTCTTCCCACCACCCCAAGCTTCTGAAGTCACTAGTGGACCACTCAAAGGGGCTGAAAACAAATAAAAAACAAAAGGTAGCATTAACATTTGTAGTGGCTCTGAATAGCTTGAGAAGCAACAATAAACTTGATATTCATTCCACGTAGGTCACTGTCCTTATATAAGCAAGGGGATAAATTACAAGGGCTCACAATGTAGAATTAAATGAATGGTCAAATTAAAAGGCTTGTAAAATGCAGACAATCCAGTTACCCTAATGTTATATTTCACCTTTCACGCAACCTTTTATAAAAAGATAAACAGAAAACTTAATCATAATAACAAGGTTCTTTGAACTCAAAGATACACCGAAATTACTTTTTTGAACTAATTCCAGAAAGACCCTCTAACAGTGCAAGAAAATTTGTATAAAATACTGCAGAATTCATAAACAAGAAAAATGGAGCACTGTTCCCTACAATGGAATCCCTGAAAACAAAAAAGGGAAGCTAACTAGAGAGAAAAACCACATCCTTATTCTTGTAACCATGGTAGTAAGAATCGCACGATTCGCGATTCGTATCGTACGATACGATTCAGAGCCGCCGCGATTCGAATCGCATGAAACGGTTATAATTTATGAAGAAAAAAAAACCTCTTCATCCACCAAAATCATCTATAAGGAATTTGTTTGTAATGGATTCTTAAACTCTGGCAGCCTCCACAATCTTATTATACGAACTCATATCTTCCAGTCAATTCTCTCCGCTGCAATGTCCTTTAGTAATGTAAACCTCTGAGTCATGTCCTTTAAAAAGAAGATGAAAGTAAAAAAGAATAAATTTTTTAATAATATGTTCACTATACATCAACATTAATTGAAACAACCAATCTTTAAAATTAAAATTTCATACAAGCTTACCTAAAAATGGTTTTCCTATGATTGATAGAGAAAATGTGAATCATCAGAAAGTGGACAATGTATATATAGGGAGAGTATTTTTAGAAATAGGGAGTATGATGGAACTGGACAATCAAAATGAAGTTTTGAAAACAAAAATGCTTTAAAAATTAGAGGATAGTTGAGATCAATTGGCATTTAAAAGCTACAACCAATACGTAGAAAATAGATATCCATAATTGCTTCTCTGAGTGGAAGACAAAATAAATGCAAGTAATTTGATGGGAAACGTATAAAGTAGAGCGGAAGAGGAAGAGTTTTTCTTTTGTATAAAACAAAGAGAAAGAAGAAGAGTTTTTATTATGTTCAAAATTTATTAAAATAAAAAATATAATTCAGAATAATTATGATAGATAAAATTACATAAGTACCTTTATTTTGAGCAGGAAAAAAGAATCACGGACTTCCTTCCTTTTATTATAATAAAGATTTATATATTAAAATTATTTATTAATTATGAATTTAAATTATATAAAAGTTTTACTGATAAAAAATTATATATATAAAATACTATTTTCTGTTAAACCCGTGATAATTTTTGTTGAGAGTTTGATGTGCTTCCCTTGGCAAGTGTCTGG